GGAGGTGGGGTTAAGAGCATTTGTTCCTGTACGTGCAAAGAAAGTTTGGCCGACAAACGCGGCTGGAGATCAGGCACCTGCACAAAGCTGGGGCATCTGCACAAACATCCAACTCCGATTGTGGGTGTTTGTGTGTGTCCTTCAGGCCTGCCTGTCAGACACACTGTGAAGTCTCTCTCGCTTTTTTTCTCGCTCTATTCCTCTATTCAGCCTTTCTTGTTCTCCCGTTCCCTCCATCCCTAGTCGCTCCTTCAATCAACTAAGAAAGGCCAAGTATTCCTCCCTCTACAGAACCAATCTATCTATCTGCCTTTCCCTGCAATCAATCTATGTATATCTATCAGGCGATAACAACTGACAACCACATGGCCGCGCATATTTTCTCTCCTTTTTAATTTCCTTTAAAATGATGAAGAGAAATGACCAAAATAAGCTGACTTTCTTCATCTGGAGGCATCATTTCAAGGCATACTGTGTGTTTGCATTGTTTAGAAATATTTCTGTGGGTCCTTCTCGCCTTCATTCCTCTATCCACCTTGTGCCTTTAACATCCCCGAAGCTTCCCCAGCCTCCTGTCTCTCCAGGCCTCTGTCAGAGGCTAGATTAATGACAATGATCAGTGAGCAACCCCCAGCTGCGGGTGCCTGCAGCTGAGCCAAAACCCTGCACTGTAAGCGGCACACACAACAACATCAGGCATATTTATTTTTAACACACACACACACAATTCCATAACTGGACACCCCAAGAAACACACAAGCCTCTCAGACAGAGCTCCATTTAGCCTAACATACTAACGCCTACAACTCATGCATATAAATCAGGCAGCCTCGGTTCCTGGAGCAGACGTACAAGTAGAAAGAAACACACAAAATACTCTCCTGGGTTCAAAATTCACACAGAGGCAATGGTGAGGGCCGGCATCTCCACAGAAATGAGAATGGCAATGGAGCAGTGCGGCGTTCAATATAAACAAGAAACATCACAACAGCCAAAAAACAAGTCTGCCTGTGACAATGTCTGACCTGGCACTTAACTCTTCCTCTGCCTGGGGACAACGTAAACAAACCTCCGAGGAGCACAACAAGTTCAAGACATAAACCTGCAGAGAAACATCTGGGTGTATATAAATGCTTCTTGGTCAGCTTTAGGTGGAATTCAGCCGGCTCTGTTAGGAGTTTTGTTTCCGTTCCAGTAAGCAGATGGCACAGCTGAGGTGGCTCTGAATCCTGATGCAGCCTGGTCCCAGTATTCTCCTCAGCAGCTTCTGCACTTGTCAAAGGATACCGGGGTGACCATGAACTCTGTTTCTTGCAGGACTCTCCTAAGCTGAGGCGCTCCAGTGGGTCGGATAAAAGGGACAGACTCTGTGGGAGGCTTTTTTTAAGGTGAGCTATTGTTAAACGTTACTATAACTGATAAGAACGCGGCTCAAAGGTCTTTTGAGTCGGCAAAACAGCTACAAATTCCGATAGCGACACACACATTTCCCCCCATTTTTCACCCCTTGTGCTTGGCGCACGGCAGGGCCACTGCGGGCATTTATCTGCCTTCATGTGGCTGTCACTGTCTTCAGCTGGAGTCCTGCGCACGGACGGCTGTGCGCGCTGGAGACGAACGCACGACAGTGATTGTGTACGATAGGACCGGGGGAGAGAAGAACAAATGAAAATGCTGTAACACATGAGGGTCAACAGAGCGTGGGATAACCCATTCAGAAAAATATCTTTTGCCAGCGCATTTTGTCTGACCCAGTCGTGCTTTCACTTTTGTTTGGACCCTGTGGTGTTTTAGGGGTATTCCCGGTCAGCGTTGTAGAAGTACAAAACAAAATGACTCATTAAAGTACAAATCTGTGTAAAGGGCTCTGGTTAAAATAGTTAAAATATGAATTTTAACACCAGTATATTAAATGGAATAGATGCACGTGTTCGGGGTTTTTTTTCCCTATCCAGCGTGCGCTCTTCCTCCTGTACGCTCCTTACAACCCCAAACAGACCCGCCTTTCTTAATGATTATTTAGCCTCTTCCTGTCTTTGAGGACTTCGGCAAACTTGCTCCGGAGAGCCCCATCACATTGCGACTGCTCTCTCCAAGAACGTCCCACTCATTGACTCTTTCCCCGGAGTCTTACCGGTGCGGAGCAGGCAGGCGGCGGAGATGATGCTGAGCAGGGCGCAGTAGTTCCACACGGTCGCCAGAGCCATCGCTGGTATTCCTCCCCGGACTTCCCTTGTATTCCTCTTCCTTGGAGAAACCAGTGTCATGAACCCGTGGGTTCACTTTCCGGCAGAGCCTTCAGCGACTGTGCACCTTAGTGTGTGTATATGTGTATGTGTGTGTGTGTGAAGGAGAGAGAGAGAGAAAGCGCACGCTTGCCACAGAGCTGGAGCAGAGAGTGTGTGTGTCTTGTCAGGAGCTCAGAGCCGAAACAGCAAATCTGTGCACGCCAGTGCTTAGTCTCGAACACACACACACACACACACACACACACTTTCTCTCCCCTCTGTAGGCTAAAAGATAATGGCTTGGCCGGTTTTTCTCGGTTAGTTTACATTGTAAATAGACTTAAGAGCTCGCCAGCTGGGCGGGACTGCGTATCTCATTGGCCAATTACAGAGGGATGGAGCAGGTAGAGGGTGTGCGGATGAGAATGAGGGGCTGGGCTAAAAAAATAAAGGCAGGAGCAGAATTGGGATGGGAATATGGGCTTCGCCCTTTAGTTAATTGGAAACAATTCGCCATAAACATGATTGATAAGCTAGTTTAATTTGCCGACGTAAATGGCCAATTTATTTGAAATTCTACTGCAGACGCACGTACTCACAAGGTTGAATAAGAAGACGAAATTAAAGTTGTTTTCATCTTAAATTGAGCGAAACAACAGCAGCGTTCCAGCTTTTTGTGCTCTGAAGCCGGTGATGAGCAGGACCCACCATGCCAACATCTACTTCCTGTATTTTGAATTTGAAATATAAAACTATTGCTTGTCAAGTTGACTATACGAGCTCAACAAAACGCTACCGACATTGTGAATGCTTCTTTGAATATAAAACACCCCGTTTTGGGTTAAATTTTACTTGCAGAAGAGAGAGACTTGACCCCAGTGCATTTTCTAAATTGCCCCTCATGGTGACATTAATGATCTGGAACAAACAGTTGCACGATGTTCTGGACAGTTTTCTTTAGTCTTTTTAAAAATATAAACATAATGTTTGTTGTTCTCATTTCCAGTCAAGCGTTATCAGGCCCTGCTCGTGGGTCTCTTTAATATAAGTGCCATATTGTGGCCACAGTTCGTCCATTACTATGCTTTTAAATCGGAGGGGAACATCTGTTTTATGAAAATTGCCTTTTTCTCAAAGTCTCCCCTTGTTCCTCATCTGGACTACTGTGGACAAGACTTGATTTATCTTTCAACTGTATCTTTGGCGCCCCCCTCAGGTGACAATATGAACCGCACGTAATGGTTCTCAGATCTGCTTTAGCCTTTCATCTGTCACTAATCCTCCCAACAGTTTTGGCCTGTGTAGTTCTAACCATCAGGAATTCCAGCGAGTAGCAAAGCATCAAGGCATTATATTGCTATAAATGTTTCTACTCCTCAACAAAGATGTTCCGACCTCACCTATCTGACCCCTACCAATGGATCTGTGAGCGAACAGGAAGCCTAGAGTTCAAGTTTATCCCTCACAGAGGTTTTATTTATCGATACATGTTGTGACCACTTTCGTTTGCCATGGATGATATCTGTCTCACTCGTTTCCCAATTCCCAGCCCATCCCATTCTTCCCTTTGAGCCCCAGCGAGCGTTTGTTCCCGGTTGGCAGGGACTCAGTGGCAGTAGCTTCCCCCGCACCAGATGGGACATTGTCAGGAAGTAATGAGGGGAAAACACCTGCTTCTCCAGAGGACTCCACTCCTTCATTTTCGGTCGTTTGACACAACATATGCATGATGCACATACAGGGCCAAGTGACTGTGACAGAAACAGCAGTAGGCGATGACATGCAGTAACAAATGTCTGGCACTGCGACGCCTTAGTCAGTGAAGTGTCATGTCTGCTGTAACATAAAGGGTTGTGCCCTGTGTGTTGGCAGAGTTTGTTTGCCAGAGTAACTGTTGACGTATAGGTGAGGTGCTGTATACCCTTATTGCTACAGATCACCATCCTTCTCTGGTTATAATATTGTCTGGGCCAGACAAAAACACGTCAAGTATTTTCACATTCTCTGCACAGGCCCTCGATCAACAGAAGATGTTGTCCAATTTTTTTTTTTTGCACAGTGGAGGTCAAAATGTTATTATATGCTACATTTCTTTTCCCTACCAACAAGAGGGCTATACCGCAGGGTAAGCTCTTATTTTTTTCAATTTCTTACACATAATACTGTTCTATATGGCTATTCTGCAGAAGCCCTGGAACCAGTGACAGCTAGTGAGCACTCAGTATTTCACCAATGACCGAGTCAAAGGCCCATGATGGAGCTCAGTGGCATTTCACATGCAGGGGAGTATGTTTTATCTCAGCATTTGTCTTTTTAAGTCTTTCTGTTCTGGCAAGAGCCTCCCAAAGTCATAAAGTAAGTAGAAGTTTGTGGAGTTGGATAGAAATACAAGAAGTCTGTAATACACTTGACAAAGGATGGCTGCAGCAGCTGTACAGGGGGCTTGAATAATCAGTTTAATAACATTATCTAGGCTGTGCTCCGTGGCGCATGCACCAGTTAATGGAGTGTCATTGTTAAACTGCCGCTTTGGCCGTTATTAACAACGGCCTACGGTCAACCACACTCGGATAATAAAACCACATAAAATCCAGCATAACTTCAACAGACAGGCGTAATGAAATTCTCAGCGTCATGAGCACGGTTGCGGTAATAAGCGATGGTGGTGCAGAACGGCATGAAGGGTTACAAAGCAACAGAGGGGAAAATTAAAAAGATGAAGCTGTCGTATGCAATGGTTATTTTTTATTTTTTTATTTTTTAAGGTGGGGTGGAGGAGCAGGCATAGACTAAATCTGCTCTATCTGAAGCCAAAACTACAAGCAGTTTACATATCTGCTCGTGGAATGAATGTGAAAAGTTTCAAGGTTACATGACTTTTCAGTTACTCTTAGTGAGTGGGTCGAAATGCGGGAATCCACTCCAACATGCGTGTGAAGCCAAACTGACTGAAGGCAAGTTCTGCGCTTGTTGGCAGATGGGAAAAAGAGACAACATTGCAGAACTTTAAGTAGAGATCAATCCCTCAGGGTAAGGTCTTTCAGACTGAAGAGGAAGGTTAATAAACAAGCTGAAGTAAACCCGAGATGGCATTGGATAGAGAAGATGCGCGGCCGAGCGAGCATGCATGTCCGCCTTTCAGCACATTGTCAATATTGCCCAGCCTCTTTTGTATCTCTAAAATGGAACAAAATCAATGACACGCTATAGGAGAGTGAATAATAATTTATAAAAGCCATTTCATTTTAAAGAAATCCAAAGTACAGTATGACAGTACAAGGAGCTTGAGTGCTACTACAACAAAAGGATTATAAAAAAAAACCTTTCAAATACTTTATGCTGGTTCTGCTTTGGAAAGAAAAGAAAGTTAAGAGGGAAACAAAGTAACATAGTAACACTTGTCCTATCACCAAAACAGTTCATATATAGCAAATAACTAAGGTGCTGTGTTTGCAATTGAAAAGAGGAACTATGTATGGAGTCCTTACAGATCTTACAGTGCAAAAGATTCTTCATTATACATTTGCTAAGAATATAGCTCACCAAATTTCATGCTGCTGAGTAAATGAAAAGAAAATTGGCCACTTTTTCAGCCAAGCCTAAAACCGCAGCCTACACCCACAAGCAACGCTGCTTCGGCATCTCTAAAGCAATCATTTGCCCTTCACCTTTTTTTTTTTTCTTACACCCAGCTTGTTACTGATTTCGATTTTGCTCTCCACACAATCATCCAATATCCCTATTTGCCTCCCTGCTCTCTTTCTACACCCCTGCCCCATGTCTCGTCCTCATTTCCTGGCCACCCACTCCATCGTCCTCATCTCTCTCTCCTTCTAGTCCCCCAGCCCCCGTTTTTATCTCTCCACCTGCCAATGCAGTCACACCAGGGGTTGTTTGTCTCCACTGGCGGAGGGAAGGGACTCCACACTTGTTTTGTAGATGGGCTTCTTCTGAGAGTGGTCATTGCTGAAGAAAGACATGGGAAGACAGAAAAGAATGATTATCAGTGTATCGATCTCGCAGTAGGACCTCTAAAAGCATAAGTGAGGAAATTATAGACCACAACCAAGCTCTGGAGGCACACCTTGCTCACGGAATGAAAGTCTATTATCCTTTTTTTTTTGCTATATTTATTTCCTGAACCACATGCCAAGATGTCTTTTTTTTCACAACAAAGCAAACAGACCATATTTGAAGAGAAAATATCAATCCATATGGAAAAAAAAGCTCCTGCACAACTGCTCAGAGTCATGGTGCATATTAACAGGCTAAATGGATTGCTGATTAATCTGACCCATTTCTTCGCTGTAGTTGCAGCCTTTTCATATTATTCACATTTTCAAAGAAATGAAGCTGACTCCTAAAACGCAACGCTATGGAGCATTAAAGAAATCAAGGATGAGTTCAGCTTCAGCAGACCAGCTGAGATAGATTTTAATATTCCGTGCCTTTTCAAACACAGACGGCAGTCTGCACACATGGAAAGTCTTTTTATACGATGAAGGTGCACGTTGGCACACAAATACAAAGCACAAACGGTGAAATGGCCTTGGTTCTATCACATGAGACAGAATGAAACATGGTGGTAATGGCCATATCTGTTATATAAAGTCAGTGGAAGGGAGGAATAAAGCAGGTGAGTCAGGGAGAATAGCAAGGTGAATAAACAAACAAACAAAATCCTCTGCATTCAAAGGGATGTTATCCATCAGGTTTAGAAAATGATTTAAGATGTCATTAACCAAAGTGATTTCAAAGTCACTGGCTACGGTGATGGGAAGTTTGGGAAGTTAGCAGTGAGTATTTTTCAATAAGCAGACGACAGTGGTACAATCTCAGACTAATAAATGAATAATTAAGAAGCCTTTTTTCCCTCCAGCGAGCAAACTTGGCATTAGTATGGGCTGAGTGGCGCTCCTGCTCCATGAGTGGCTGAGTGTAAAGCAGCGTATTGTGAAAAACAACAAGACCCAGAGAGTCGCGTCTTACATGGGTCCCTTTCTGGTCCTGATCTGCTTGGCCCTGCGGCACAGGAACGCGCTCACGGAGAGAATGAACACAAACAGAGCTCCAGCCGCCGCCAAGGTCATCAACCAGAGTCGGCCATTAGTCGTCGCATACCAGGGGGCATCCTCTGTGGGACAAACATGGAGGGACATGTGCATCACGTTGAATCCAAATCAGCAGAGCTGGCCGTCTCCATGCACGGCATCTTTGGGCAACCTCGTGTTTGTTTGGAAGAGGAAAAGTGCCCAGAGTTCAGGCGAGTCACAGTTATTTTCCTCCGTGCTGGCCTTTTTTTAAACTTTTTTTTTCTAATTAGCATTTTATCTCTTTCATGTGTGTGAATTTCCAATTCAAATATAATGTTTGAAAATGGGGAGTTTTCCAGTCAAGTTCTTAGAACTGTGGAAAAAGCAAACCGTAAAACATTCCACTTGAGTAAGTTTGCAACGGCAGCAAGCACAAGCTTTGCCTTTTTCATGTTAAGAGGATTTCTGGAAAGCTGGAGTCACACAGGTTTGCTGGAGGAATGTTTGTTCAGTGTTTGAGCTGCTAATGTCGTGACAATGTAAAAGCTAAAGCAGACATCTGCAGCTGTTTCTCACCATTCCCTCAAGGAGGAGCAAATCAATAAAGCCCTGTATCAGTGTGAGTAGAAATTATTCCACTTTTAATTAATGTGTATCTTTCAGAGAAAATAAAGGAGGCAGTTTGTGAAACATAAATTAGTGACCAGTGAGTCTATTATAGCACTAATAGGAAAGTCCTGATAAACTGGATACACTGCTTTCCTAAAGTTTAGATGATTTTAGTTGTTAACATATATCAATTGTTAATTATTCGGGCTCAATGGAATTAAAATTTTGATATTTGATAAAAAGTGACACTATGGTCATCTCTGAGGTCAGAGTTAAGGACGATTCATATATCTGAAGCCTACAAAGTTGTAAAAAAAGCATTACTTGACTTTAATGCCGTAATTTTGTGTAATTAGGGATACGACCATTTTTCAGTCAGATTCAGACAAACTAACACAGTGTAGATACTTATCTACAAAACAGTGTTCTTCCATCATATATTTTAGTCTAATCTGTGTTTCGAGAATCTCAGAAAGTCCCATGTGTTTGTAAATGAAAAAGACTGAGAATGAAGAAAATGAAACAGAATAAGATAATGTGACATACAGACTTTGGTGCCCTAACATTTACATGATATTCTGTCAAAACTGAAGACATTAAAGGTCAGGTTTAACCTTCGCTTATTTTAAATCCTATAATTACCAACCTATCCTTTAAAGTTAATGCAGCTCTACCATTTATTATGATATCTAATATGTATTCTGCCCTCTGCTATGACTGCCCTGCATGTTTGACATTTTAGATGTAATTTCATTTTTCACCTCTTTAGCGTGAGGTGTTTTAATAAACCTCTTTACCTATCTTGGTTTGGGCTTCCCTTCTTTTTCTGACTTTGAAATCAAATCTCAATCTTCTTCTATCTCCAATGATTTTGTGCATTAAAGGTTGCACACTTACAGCTGATAACATGTGCGCCTGCCCCTCATGATGTAATCGAAACCACATCAGTGACCTTTAGAGTGACATTTGAGTGGCTGATAAAAGAGGAAATGGAGCAAAGTAGTTGGGGTTTTTTTTGTTCCCTTTCTTTGGAAGACTTAAGAGATAAATTCCTGTAAAATTACACAGAAAACCAAATACTTTTTTGGAGGAAGGAAGTGGCGTTGAGCCTCATAAGGTTTCATCAGTACAAAGGGGAAGCTTGTCTGGGTGAAATTTTCCCTTACCAGGCAGTACAGTGATGCTAATAGTGCTCTGCTTGATGAGAGACTCCACAGAGGGATGCTGGGCCATGCAGGTGTACTGGCCTTCCTCCAACTCACTCACCTTCTTCAGTGTCAACGTAGAAGAAGGCAGGAGCCAGTCACTGCCCTGAGAGGGAGAGATGGAGGAGAGAGAATGGAAATGAGCGGAAAGAAAAATGTTTTCTTGGTCAGGTTGTTTGCTGCCCTGCAGAAAATAAATAATGTGCAGCTATAAAAGGAACAGGAATGTAGAAAATATTATACTGGATGACAAAAACAGCGAGAAGGAGGGAAAGAAATATGATTAGATTAGACACAAATGGTGTTGGGGCCAGAAAAAGAGAGAGTAACTGAGCAGAAGTTATTTTCAGGGATCTGTGCACTGAGGGACAGCGGTTCAAAGTGAATTAAAACAAGTTTAGGAGAGGAAGAGAGGCTAGAAAATGTATAGAAACAAGGAAAGGGAACGTGAATATTTACTGCTGTGTTACCCTTATGGAGCTGTCCCAACAGTCCCATTTAAAGTGTATTTACCTGAGCATCAATCCAAATGAATGAACACACGTTGACACAAGTCAATAACCCAGACAACACCATCATCCGCAAAGAATGGTGTACCAAGAATCCACAGTTAACACAACACATAATGAGATGGCTGGGGAGCAGGAGGAATTGTTGACACAGAAATAGCAGCACTATTATAAGATAGAACCCAACATGGGAAGAAACAAATAATACGCCAAACACAAAGATTGGGAAACAAATGAACGTGGAGGAGGGGATGAAAAAAAGAAAAGAAAGAAAAACAACAAAAATAAAGAATAAACATTACACCATGCAAATGATTTGGCTCTTGGGAGCGGCAGTTCCTGCCAAGAAAGTCCATTTCAATTTGAATGGATCTGAATTAAGAGGATTTCCCATAAAGGCCAGGTCTGGCCAAAGCAGCATTTTGTATGCAAATCCACTGGCTCCCAAGCAGTGGGCTGTTTCTGCCTCTGTCCTGCTGTCATTACTGAAGGCCAAAACGCTCACAGCGGCTGTCTGTCAAATGGAGCCACCCTGATGCCACTTTCTGCCTCGCATCCTGTCTATCGTGGAATGGGATTCTTCCAAGCACACACACACACACACACACAAATAAAAATAAATAACTAAAATCCAAATGAAATATAAATATTTTATCATAATTTGATGTTTCTGTCAAGAGTTCTTGAGCAATAAATAAGACATGAGGGAATCAGAGCTAAAAAGTCTAAGATCAGTCGGTTATGGAGATGACAACATTTACTTTTCATTCAAAGTGACGGCTCTGCTTAGTTGACAGATAGTGCAAAAAAAAAAAAGAAACTCAGCATATGATCATGTGGAGGACAAATATTTTTGTCACCATGACATGTCCACTGAAATGGATTTGGACTTGTAAACCCACTTAAAATCCGGATTAATAGCAACCCCTTAACCAGCACTGCATTTGCCTTTTCCCAAGATACCTTCAAATCTGCAGCTACATAGATTCCGTGACCTGCTTAGCTGTAACTGCAGTTATTTTGACACCTTGAGTGTTTTATTCTAATAATACATTTCTCAGCGCATGAGGAAAGTATATCAGCCAAATAATCATGTCCTCGCTGTACATGCAAGTTGTCATTCTGGCATTTTACACACAGACTTCTTAATTTCTCTTCAGTAGAGGTTTCTTACCTCAGTGAAGAGTCTAGTTGAATTATTCAAAGCCAGTTAACCAAACACTGAAAAAAAAATCATTAGAAATCTATCCACATAATTGTTTTCAGGTTGACTGGTTCTTGTCTAGACCTCATTAAACTATTAATCCCCTGTAAGTGGGCAAGCTGCAATCCCCAGAGGTGAGCCTAAGCCAACCGGTCACTTAAACACAGAGCACTGCTTTTGTGAAGGGGATGGAGGGACGACAGGCAAGGGCAATGAAGAAACTTGCGAAAGTTAGGTAAAGAAAAAAGTGATTGCGTGATCGCGAGGATGAGACAATTAAGAGAATGCCTGAAGGCCAACAGAGATCTGGCGAGGCTGGAAGGAGATGTGGGAAAAGGAGGCCGCATCGAGAGAGTAGGAGTAGGAGTGATAATGACAATTTTCCAAAAGCGTAATTAGGACACTGTCACTGCGAGCACGGCGTATGTTTTCTCACCTCCTTCTGCCAGTAGTAGCTCGGCTTCTCCGATGAGCTGGCGGAGCACTTCACCACCACGTCATCTCCAAGCTGTACGTTCAGCTCCTTAGGGGCACTCAGGTAGCTGCTGTAGCCGCCCTCCATCGACAGCGATGGCTGTCCCATATCTAGAACACAGCACAGCCAAGAGAGCCTGATCAGGCATTAATGAAGCAAATAATTTAATGCACCCTGATGTAACGTCTTCTAGCATTTAGAATTCCACCAAACATATGTTTGAAGTCGTAGCATCTGCTAAACAACTCAGATCTTTTAAGCATACTTGAGCACACAGGCTTATGTATGATTGGCACAAACTGTTCCAAGCAATCAGTTGTAATGATGATAGGCCTCGTCTTATTAATGTCTTCAGGGAGCTAGTGTTGTAAGTAACGACCCATTTTCCTTTTCTCTTTAGAAATAGCCAATGTCCATCCACCTCATGACTCCACCTCTGTTTCCTTCACTCCAATAGTTCATTCTAATCTTTCCCTCTTATTGATTCCCTCCATGAGGCTGAGGAGCTTATCCAGCAGCATTACGGTCGATATAATGTGCCACTGAGAGGAGAGAGGACACTGTAAAGTTGACCGGTGCTGCTATAGACAACAACAAAATCCCGCAAAGGCAGCTTCAAGCTGGAGCAAGAATAAGGGGAGTGTGTGAACAGAGCAGAAGGTAACAATATTTGCATTGAATCTGAATTGTTTGCTGCTGTTTTTTGTGCACTGTCTGCAGCAGCATTTCATGGCAACAATATGTCTAGCATTATTAATAATTAATATGTTTTTCTAACTCTCACTGTGAGTAAAGCTGTCTACAGAATCTGGAGGTTTTTATCTCCTGCTGGTTGCAAGTATGAGGAAATTGCCTTCAGACTCTTTTCATCTAGTTATTAAGACACAACAATTTATCAGTTTACATTCATGTGATGCTTCCGTCTTTGTTTGACACGTCAAATTGCCAAACAGTTCCTTGTTGAAACTCAAATACAAAATAACTTTGTATCACCTGTTTTTTCTAGCTCAGCGTCAGATTTTTGAAGACATTTTTTTCAACAACTGCACAGCACACACAACATTAAACTTTAAGGTTGAATTGTTTGTCCCAAATGAAAATACAGAAAGTTACTGTTACGCAGACAGTTCCAACATGGCTCCCTCCCATGCCACCTCACACACTCACAATGCACTTTGAAGGTCAGCGGCTGGGAGGAGTTGTCTGGCTCGGTCACATTTTCAGCATCTGAGACGCAACGGAAAGGCACCCCAGAGAACCTTGTTGAGTGATAAATGTACAGAAGCGCCTTTTCTCCATCCTGGTCGACATATGGGGAGTAAAATGGCATGCACCGGCGTCCCCACCAAGACTCCCCAAAACGGCTCCAAAGCTGCATGTACTGGTATGGAAATAGGGTGATTAAATTTGATGGGCTTCCAAACATTGGAAAAATAATCCACTGTGTAGTACAAGGACAGGCATTTATTATATTTACATATAGCAGACAACAATATGTATGAGAGTTGTCCAATGGTGGTGCACACAAACAAGATTATTAAATTCCTGATCAGACAAAAAAAATCATCATTGTAATTACTTTTTAACTGACTGACCACACAGAAGAATTGCACACCAGGTCAAACAAATGTTTAATGTTTAATTGCCTGAGCTTACCTCAGAGAAGTACTCAAAATGAACGTGGCTGATGTTGAGGTCAGAGTCAGTGTACAGGCATTCCAGTGTGACCGGCTCTCCGTCCAAAACTGCCTCAGTTGGCCCCTTAATGATCAAAGTTGCTGCAAGTGGACAGACATAATAGAGGCTAGTTATTGATCTTTTCAAGACTGGATGGGGGAGAACAGAGGTGGGGTCACGTTGACACTACAGGCATGAAGCTGCTCTTCCGGGCAATACTTTCAAAGCCACCTCTCCTTTTTGTTGACATTCATTTCAGGTTCCTGGCAAAAGCAGGTACATATTTTACATAGAGATTAACTTGATAACAGTCTGCTGTCCGCATACCTAAAACACTGAATTGTTTTCTTTTCTTATTTCCAGTCTCTAGATAATTCTACCAACGTTTCCTGTTTACCTGTGATAGAAACACAGGGGGAAACCAGTCTGAGTAGAAGAGCAAGCAAAACACTTCCTCAAGAGAACACATTGACTCGGACACACAAACAGGCAAAAAAAGACCACACAAACGTTATAGGCAAGAATAATGTATTTCTGGATGTTAACAAAAAGAAAGGACCAGAACTCCACTAAGAAATTAAACCAATATCTCATTTACAGAGAGGAAAATAACAAAGTCGATTAAAACTCAGGAAAACAGTCCATGAGCAATTCAAACATACTTACCATAACTGCAGTGAATCAGGGCGACCACTCCAATAACCCAAAGTGCTTTCATGGCTGTGAGGAAGCTTTCAACTTTTAATTGTAACGTCCTGAAGTCTGCGCAGCTTCTAAACTGGAAGGGCTGTCTCCTGTGTTTATGTAAACCAGGGCGTAGGTGTGGCTTTCACTTTTCTTTTCAGGAAATGAAAGCCAATATGTTTTAAAAGTCTAAAAGCATATATTAATTTATTTCAATTTACAAACGTAAATAAATAAGGTTGAGTATGCCACGCTTTATTAAACTTCTATGGTCTCTCTTTTTTTTTTTTTGTTAATAAGCGTTCACACCCGAGGGTGAAGGCACTAAATCATTCTTTGCGCGTCACTTGTATCCAAGCTGAGCTTGGCGCCTTACGTTTTCTGTTTGAGAGTTAAAGTGAATGTGTTTCTGTGGGTGTTCAGCGTAATTTGAAGTCGTTGGAGGCATGCTGCTGTGGTGTTGTACAGTGTATTGGCTTGTTATATGAAGCCTAACAAGCGAACAATTTACGCGTCGTTTGCCCTGACCTTTGATTGATTCGCTCTTAAGTCGAGGGTAGGTTATTATAAGGAATTGTCTATACAGCTACGTGTAAACGGGTGTGAATTAGTATAAGCTTTTCCGAGTCTGCACTTAAATGATCTATCTTTTTTGTTGTAACACAACATGAATAAGTAATCTTTTGCATTTAAGAATTAACATTTAAATTTTCATGTAAGTTCATGACTTTGAATTTGAATTGATATTTACTTGTATGATTACCTCCATACATTTATTTAGCCCCGCAGTTTCTTCCATGTGTCGTTAAAAACTGCTTTCAGGGTATCTTTTTTATTACGACCATAACAAGCCCTCATTAAGTTGATTGGTTGTTGATGTCGTTCAGCGAAATGTCCACCAGGTGGCACATTAGAGGCAGCCGGAAGCCACAGGAGTTAAAGCGGAAGTACATAGAAACAGTCTCGCAATTTGGGGGGCTTTGTAAGAGAAACTAAGAGTCACTTTTATATCATATACCAGTATTTTCGTTAAGCTGATAACCAGGCATGGATAGATAGTGAATAAATAACGTGGTAAGTCGACAAATTAACGGACATTCTGAGAAAGCAGCGCAAACGACGCTGTACCGTCTGATTAGCAGCTAATGTTAGCCCTGTAGCTAACGAAACAGCTTGACAATTGCTGTTGATTTTAAAACGTACAGATTTCACTTTCGAGATGTTTTCTCTGCTCCGTTGCATTACGTTGCAGTTTCTGTATTTTAATGTTGTTTTGTGTTATTTGGCTGATTCGTTTTGTTATTTACCGAGCCAAAACGTTTTTTGTACTACGGTTCCTGTAAGAATACGAACGAGTCGTTTGTTATGGTCAGATAATGGCAAAGGAATCTGTCTCACCGTCATAACCCCATGTATACATAATAATTATGTCTTACCGTTTTGATTCCTTGTTTGAAAAAAAATGCACTGAATATTGTTTCTTGTTTCACTTTTAATCCACATTTGAATACAACTATCCAAAGCAAGTAACTGCTGAGTGTAATTTGACCATAAAACATTGGAAAAAGGCTTTTTAAAATATAATTTTAAACAGATTATGTAACTGTTCATTTGATATTCTCTTGATTCCTCTCCAGATTTAACATTAAGGACCCTGAAGTGAGGCAATCCATCACATCTGTGGCCAGGACTGCCTCTCAGAGCTGGTAGAAACGCATCAGGGCCACCATAGTGTAGCTGCCCAGTAAACTAGAGTTCTGTTTCTTTGCTCGTGGCCACCAGCATGGCAAACAGCAACCCAATAATAGTGAAGGGTCTGCCCTCAGGCCCAGCAGGCAGAAGCAGTCCGGAAGGAACTCAGGTCAGTTTAAAGTTATATGATTTGTCATTACGAGGAAACGTGATCAAAAATGTATTTAATTGTAATGTTTTTTCATTGTGATTTCCAGGTGCTCAGTAAGAAGAAGCTGCAGGACCTGGTCAGAGAGATTGATCCAAATGAGCAGCTGGATGAGGATGTTGAGGAGGTTTGTAAATGGTTGTGTTTGGGAATTATTCCAGATTCGGAGTAAGAACTCATCAAATTAATTTCTCAAACTTCTAGTGGCTCAGTGTTTATAGAATTTTTTTTGCTGTTCTATCTATCATTTGAAAATATCCTGATGAAAACCGGGCTGCATGTTGGCTGATTTTAGCAGATGCAAAAAATGTGGGTGTTTGCAGCAGGTTTCTCTATCAAGACGTGGTTGTGAAAATGCTGCTGTCTTTTCAGATGTTGCTTCAGATTGCTGACGACTTCATAGAAAGTGTTGTGACTGCAGCCTGTCAACTGGCACGCCATCGCAAATCCAACACATTAGAGGTTAAGGATGTTCAGTTACATCTAGGTAGGTTTCTCCTGATTTTTTTCAAGAATGTAATTTTCACAAAAGTACTTACCCCTAGTTTCTCAAAAACATAACGCTTTTTTCCACTCCCAGTTCACGGGAAATGTACTAATGGTTTTAGATTTACATAGAAACAAAATAACTAAGATATCTAAAGTGATCTCTACACCTGAATTCAGTTTAAAGCCCACACTGAATGTCTCAGAGCTCAAGGAGTGGAGGCATTCACGTGAAAATTGATTTAACAAATTTTGAAAATGAGATGGAAATTAGATCTCGGGTGTGTGACTTTTTTCTGATGGACTAACTTACTTGAAAGGAAAAGAAACGGCCTTGAGAGCAAATGTGATTTTACATCTCTAAAGTGTTGGAAGTTGATGAATATGTATTGGAAGTTCTGGGGAGTTAAACCCTGTGTCCTGCTGGCATTTCGAATCGCTTCTCTTAGAGCGCCAGTGGAACATGTGGATTCCTGGTTATGGCTCAGACGAGATCCGACCGTTCAAGAAGGCATGCACCACAGAGGCTCACAAACAGGTGAGCAATGGGAAGAACGATCCCAGCTGGACAGTTAAAGTCAGAGTATTCCTGTTCATTTTGTGTTTATAGGTTAAGGTATGAAGTAAATGGGTACAAAAACTAAAACCAACCTTCTGACACTTGTTATACTGGTGTTATTGATTTGGTCTTGAGTACAAAAGACATGTGCTGAGCCTGATTTATTTTTTTGCATTTGTCTTTGTTTCAGAGAATGGCACTGATCCGCAAGACAACCAAAAAGTAGCACGGGGAGATGTTCTGTTCAACCCACGCTGTGTAATTTCTTAGTTTTTTGTTGTTGTTTTTTGACTAATGCAGAGCAGAAGTTATTTTGGTGAGGGGTGTTTTTCTTCAGACATGAAATAGTGTTAAAATGTCATGTCCAACTAACTTTGACTGTTTTACCAGAATTTTCGCACATAATTGTGTTTGTATGTTTCATTCTGTTTTGTTTCCACAAAGCTAAGCCTGTAAGAGCTCCATTGCAGTTTTTGTCAATAAACATTTACTGGAATACCTCTTATAGATTGTGGTCATTGCTTGACCGGGCCTGCCTTTTTATACTCTTGAACATGTTTTTTTTAATCAACATTCTGAGGCTAATTTAACGTTTGTTGCTATTAATCGGTAAAAGAAACTACAATGGAAACGTAAACATACATTCTCAAAAGAATAGTTTTCATTGTCACCGAATAGTTTTTTAATTAAATTTAAACATTACTTGAATAAAACACAAGATTCTCTGATTTATTAGTGAATGGACTTTATGTACACATAAAAGGGAAGTTTCTAATTCAAACCAAGTCCCTCAGTACCTTAATTGCCTGTTATAGACTGAACAAGTAGCATATATAAAACAGATTTTTTTTTCTGAAATCGTTCCTAATGGAAACAAATGTCTCTGTCTCAGTGGCTCCCACCATATGGACGTGTAACAAAGATAGATTTTCTTGCTCTCTTAGTAAAAAATACAGACTACTTTCCTAATTAAAAGAAAAAATCCCACACTTACTAACCTCCCAAATATATCTTTTGCTCTTTCTAAGGCTGAAAATCTCCTTTCCAGCATAGACTGCAGATCTTACATTACAAAAATCAATAGTAGAGAAAATATGTTATCCCCTGCCCTCAAAGGGAATGTGGTAACAAAACATTCACATTTTTAGCACCTATTAGGCTAATTAAGGAGAAAGCACTGACTACTGTATGTCACCTTTACAACCCCAGCCCCCTCTGAACAGAGGCAAGAAATGACCTCATAAGTCCATTAGTCTGATAAGCTGTGGGCCTTACATATCACAAAATGTTAATTAAACCATGAGTCCAACAAATACAAAAATCTATAGCCTATGCTGTTAGAACTCAGCCCGACTCTAGAGGCTTTTTAGGCACACCTTAAGCCTCATGTTACAAGTAAAGATATACATTGATGTACATCTTGGAAACAAATGTCAGCTTATCAAAAAAAGAAAAAGAAAAAAAAGTTAATTAATTCTCTTGAGCTGTGTACATTACAAAAAGTGTAAAAATGCCGTGATGGTTACATAGTGCACCAGCTTTCTGATGGGCTGTTTAGGACCCACAGAGACAGGAGTCCACTGTGCAGGCTGTTTACCCGCAACACTTCTTGTTGTTCCCGGGGGCTGTGCCGGGTTTAGAACCGCTGGCTCTCTGTAGCCGCAGCGCCTGCGGGGCGGCGCACTTCACGCCGTCCCAGCCCTCCATCAGCTGCACCTCTCCGCTCAGCAGGCCCTGGTACACCCGGCGGGTCAGCAGCTCGAAGGACTCCCTCACGTTGTGGCCGCTCTTTGCGGAGGCCTCTATGTAGGGCATCCCCAGCCTGCCGGCCAGCTTCTCCGCCTCCTCTCGCCTGACCGCCCTCTCCCCGTGAGCGTCCCGGTCGCTCTTCTGACCCACCAGCACGAACAAAACCTTGTGAGGCTGCACTCTCTCGCACACCTCGGCGTGCCACTCCTTAATATGGTCAAAGGAGTCACGGCTGGTCATGTCGAACACCAGGAGGCCCCCGACTGAGTTGCGGTAGTAAGAGCGGGTCACTGACCTGAGAAGGAAAGAAAAAAAAGAAGCAGAAATACGTTTTTAAAATACTTGGAAACCTCCCAAAACTCAAAGTGGGAGAGTAAAGGGTCCAGACTTTGCCAACAGCCTGCTGGCATCTCTCCTGAACAAAAGTTCCGTATGAGTGAAATTCTCACAGATAAGCAGTGACTAATGACTGCTCCCTTAGCTGAGGTAAATACAGACAGGCATGGTTTGATATTTGTTACAGCTTATTCAACTAAACACGCGAAATGATTAATTTTGTGCCAGGATGAAACGTGCTGCTCCAAGTCCCTTCGTGAAATATGCCGAGGATGGAGAAGAGGGGCTTGTAAAAGAACTGCAGATTCTGCGTTTTTTAGTACACGGTGCAGACCAATCCGCTGAGGGGGGATACGCAGTCCCAACCGAAAGCAAACACTGATGAACAGCTTTGCAGCAAAAAGAGCCAGCCAAGGTACTTTTTTTGGACAGGACATTTGCATACACACCAGAGGCTTTAGTGATATGAGTAACATGAGTGGTGTTGGCATTCAATGGTATAGTTAAAAAAAGAGACAAGGCTAATCCAGGTATGATTTTAAAAAATTGAAAACACAGTTGATCAGGATTAGAGTACATGGAGCCATGAGAGACAGTGTAAATTGCAGAGGGCCCCCACCTGAACCTCTCCTGCCCGGCTGTGTCCCAGAACTGCAGCTTGACACGGACGCCCGGCTCCACCTCCAGGAAGTGAACGTAGAAGTCCACACCTACAGTCTGGTTAATGGACTCCAGAAACATGTCCTCGGTGTAGCGCTTGAGTAGGGAGGACTTCCCCACAGTTGAGTCCCCCAGCATGATGATCCTGAACTGATACTGCCACAGAGTCAGGTCCATTGGTGCTGGCAGCAACAAAAAAAGAGGAAAAAAAGCAAGAGATAGTAGTCAGACAGGGGATATAAATGACTAAATGGAGTTAAGTGAGTGGTGTGGAGTTGATATCCCTGGTGGAACTGTTGGAACTGAATAAACAGGCAATGCAGAAGTACTCCCGCCCAGGGCTGATTATTCACCTCTGATGCTCCAAATGTTGAGAAACAACCAAGAAGCCACTCCTTGTTAACCTCCCAAAGTGCCAGTCCGGTCCTCACTGCCATCCCAAACTGCTGTGCGTCTGACGGCCGAAAGGCAGTCTCCTCAGCCTCATGGTGCCTTTTTTCTCAGTCCTCCATAGGGCAGATATGTGGAAAAATGCGCCGTTCAGAGCTGGTTTCACGGCAGTGTTCACCTGAACTGCTCCTGCCAGCCAGTGCAGGAGTCGGGCTGAGCAGGGGTGTGAACTTCCAGAGTTTGCCTGTTGATACTTGACAAAGGGAGGGGCAAATGCAAAAGGACACAGTGGGGGATATGGAGCATGGAGAAAGATGGCTAGATGTGGGAGGCTGGTTTTATAAGGAAGTAGTGGTTGAGCCTGCCCTGAGATTAAGGGGAAACTCGGCTGCTTCCTGTTGTCAATAACTTACATGTAAATCATCATGAGCAAACAGAAAACTGTAGCAGTTAGTTGTTTTGACTGTGGGTTTTGTAGTAGGATTTTTTTATCACTTTATGATCTCATCTTTCGAGTTCCCAAAAAGGGAAGTAGGTTACAATGGAGCTGTAACCCCCCTTGGGAATGGCTCAGGATATATTTACTGTTAAAACAGGCATACCAGGGCTGATGCCTATGTGTATGCACATTTATATTTAGCAGCAGAATGAGAAACCTTTATTCACGTTAAACTAAATATCTATATACACGCATGCATATACAATTAAAACATGAAATCCAGACTCCAACCAGAAACACAGAATTTTAATTTATTAAGGTCAAACAGAAACTATTGCCAGTGACTTTGTTTTGAAACAACTTGACTGAGACTGAACATGCAACATTTTTGAAGTTTTGATGCTTTGAGATAAAACGGAGCATAGTTTCCTAATGCCAGGGTCCATTTGTCCATTCCCCACAGTGGTTGACACACAGGTCACTTAGAGGTGGCTGGACGGTCAGATGACTGTGCATCAGCAGAATTCATTTAGGAAGTTCTGGGTCAGATATGGCAGCAAAAGAGGAAAACAAACAAAAAGAAAAAAAGTACAAAATCATATTTAATTGTAAGAAGCCATGCACTCTGAACCGCTCAGAGTTAACAACTAAAGCTGTACACCACAGATGGAAACAGGTCGGCTTATAATCAACAATAAACACTAACTTAAAACCCTGTCCTCCTCAGATATTGATGCCTAAATACTTATGTCAGAATGTTTCAAATACATGCATGTGCCCCACAGTCAAACTGTTTAAGTTTAATCAGAAAAACATCCGAGGGCAACACAAACCGATACTGCATAAATCAAAAGCTGGGACTATAGATGGAGCAGAAGCACACCAAATAGGAAAACAAGCGTTCCAGGAACAGAAATGCATCTTAAAGCTATCAAACCATCCCTCACAGGCAGGTTTGCCTCTTAAGACAATTTCAAACATCGAGCTGGACCATTTTATTCTGATGTTAAATAATTGACCACTGGTGGTCAGCACAGTTTTTTCAACACTGCTTAATATTGGCATTTCTTTGGTGCTCTTGCCCTTGTTGACTTTCAGAATGAAAAACCATCTAATGTGTGAAGAATCCAGGCTGATTTGGGACTCATGGTTGATCTGTATGGAAATGATTCAATTCCCAACCACATGATTCTCAGCGTGACACTCCATTTTGGTTTTTGGCATAATGTTGATCGGGGAAACACGTTTGTATCCATTTGAAAGACTGATTTTGGCTCAGTCCAACATTTTTCTCTTTGTCAGACAAAATGCTTTCCCCTTTTCAAGTTGTTTATTTTAAACTATGCCGCGTCATTCGCTCCACTCACCCACTGGTTTATTTCCACATTTCGAAACAGCCATAAAAAAAGGTCAGCTATTCAGAATTTTTAAAATATAAATTACTATTTTCTAACAGAATAAAAACAGTTCACATATGTACATATATAAACTGTTCTGTCCGCAGCGTCGTTTTAGAGCAGACAAAATAACTCTGGGTTGAATGGATCTGCGTGACCGGTGGGACTACAAAGAGGCCAGCTTCAGCTCCAAGATGTCCACCTCAGGGGAGCTGCTTTCACTGCGGTCGCTGTAAGTGTCCCTGCAACGACAGAGACGCCTTCAGATGATTTCACTGTGGAGAGGCATTTTCCCTCTGAGGCTCAGAGGGTGAGCCCTCTGCATCAGTCTTTGTAAAAATAAGCAGAGTGCATATCAGATACAGATGCTGATTTTTCGATGCGAGCCGCTGCTTAATGCCGTCTCATTTAATATTCTGCCTGAGGTTGTTAAATCTTCATTAAAAAAAACACCACATTTTTCAATAAATTTTTTAACCATTTTCATAAGTTTAATTATGCACAACATCCAAATTTTAAGCGTAGAAAATGTTTATAATAATGAGGCAAGCGGCCAGAATACTGTTGAAAAATGTCATTTCTGCTCGCCAATTATGCTGACCTCATTTAAGGGCAATATAACACAAATAAAACAAAAGGGAATCTGTAAATGAGCAATCATCCATGTAAGACAACAAATTCAGGCTGGACTCAAACTTATGTCTAGTGGTTCTGTTTTAAACTCATTCCATAATCAAATGCACCCTTTTAAATAAACATGGTGCCTCCATTGAGACCAAGCTGGTGAGGGTAAAACATAAGCTTCAAAGTGGCGAACAATTTGACAGGTAAGGCAACAGTGGCCCCTCACAGTCTTTAATTAAAAAACACAACTGTCTGAACTTCAAATGTCTTTTAATACCAAAAACCCTAATGATAACTGAGCTAGGAATACAGCAGCCAGTGCAGCATTAATCAAAGCAGACCATAAAATAACACTCTGCACAACCGTGGGGAATCTGTGGGTGTTAAGCTACAGGTCCCTCCTGGACCATATGTCCGGTTGTCACTTTTAGAAGGCGACTTTGCGCTCAGGTTGAATTTACCGTGGAGAGAGGCGACAGCCCTTAGCCAGATAGCTCTGCAGTTTTCCAGCAGCGGCCAGCAGGAGACCAAAGTATGGAGGGGAGGGCTTGATGGGTCTGGAGGTGAACTCCGGATGATACTGCACTCCAACAAAGTAACAGTGGTCTGAGGCAGCGAGATGGAGATAGGCGTCAGGGCACATGGTGCAAAACCACTTAAACATCCTGACTCAGCAGTCATTTCTCTAAAAGGCAGGTCTTAAAAAAATCACTCACCCTCCAATTCGATGACCTCCATTCTCTCTCCTTCAACATCCTGACCAACAAAATGAAGTCCCTTTGCTTCAAAGTGGTGCTTCAGCTCTGGATTCACCTGGAGGGAGATCATACTTAATGATTATGGGCATCGTAATTCTTCACCCACCAGATGAAAACCAATTTAGCAGAGAATGTTTCGAGCCTTGTGACATAAAGCTTGGGAATATTCACACTTCTTTTAGCTTGCAAATAAAAGGCTACAGTGTTCTTGTCTCTACCTCAAATCTGTGTCTGTGCCTCTCTTCAACATATTCCACATCTCCGTACAGTCTTCCTGCAAGAACAAAAGTCAAAATGAACAAAATTGTCAGGGGAAATAATACCGTATTTTCCACACTGTAAGGCGCACCTAAAAGCCTTCGATTTTATCAACAAAAAAGAAAAATCTACAGCCGCAACAGGTCTCGCAACTACGGGAAGCAGCCGCCGACTCCATTTTGTCCCGTAGAAGAAGTAGCCCGCGGTGGATGCTGGAATATACGACTGGGTGAAGCGTGCATTTTCGTTTCATTCAGCTGAACAAGGTGGGTCATATTGTGTATACGGACATTAACGTTTGAACAACGTTGAGTTATTGTTATTACTTTGCACTATTTCGATAGTTGCTATATTGTGATTGCACTAACGTTAGATTTACTGTAACGGTATCAGAGTTTTTTTTACACGTTTACTGAATCGAGAAGAAGTTGCCCTCCACTACGTGATAAAAATGCTGCACTACCCATTGTTGTTAAAAGATAAACTGTGTTGCAAAAACACTATGTCACTGACATTACCTCGGGAAAAATAATAAAACTGCCGTTTCATTATTTGGGGAGTGAACGCTGTTATCAGAACACTGGTTTGTATTCCATTTATAAAGTTTGACCGACTTATCTGACTGTGTTCTTATTCTCTTTAGCGCAGCTGCATCTAGTGGATGCATAACGCAACCCCAGCCACGACTGTAGCTTCTATTCTATGCGGCTTATAATGAGGTGCGCCTTATATATGAATGAATACATTTTAGAATAGGCCATTTATTGAAGGTGTGCCTTATAGTGCGGAAAATATGCTACATAAAGCCCATTCAGTGGCCGCAAATGATACATACTTAGCACGCTGGCGTTGGATTTGAATATGGTGCGCCTCCTGCCTAACCTCATAGTCCCTCCCATCTGCCCTGGGTTGTGCTCTGGCATGTCAATCACCTGCCAGGACCAAATCACACATCAAGTCAATCGGCTGATATAACGAAACATGAGCAGAGTGCTGGGGAGGGGGGGGTCAAGGACAATAGAGAGCCTACCACTGGGTGTTTGGTTTCAGGATTAAACTCTGTGGAGTTGGCATCTGAAAGAGATAAGCAAAAGTGATTTCAACCCAGCTCGACTTCCACAACAGCTATGCGCAAACAAATCGGAAAGAGTGGGAGACGCTTTCTTTGGCCTCGGTGAAACTGTGCTCACCTTCCCATCCCAGAACATTTCGTGCAAATTCGCAGACTGCCAGCTGCATGCCCAAACAGACTCCTGCACAGAACAAGAACAGTGAAGTTTGCACATCACACATTTCCAAATAAGGACTACAGAGAACTCAGCGAAGAAGGGCTATAAAAAGCAACTATGTGCATTATTATGGGCAATTCCACCATCCAGGTTTTTAAAAGTGTGAACACATTGTCCCGCGGAGGGACACCGTCTGATGGGCAAAAGTCCAGTGAATTCTTTGATTATTTTCACAACAAACCGAACGACTCTTACCCAGAAAGGGCTTGTTCTGTTTCCGTGCCCAGCTGATGGCCAGCATCTTCCCCTCTGTTCCCCTCACGCCAAAACCTCCAGGAACCAAAACGCCACTAAAAAGGCAAGAAAACCCCCATCAGGCTTGAGTTGGGTCATGCAGGAGGCACAGCATGTACAAACATACACCCATTAAAGTTACTCAAGTGTACATATGAACAAAACATGATCTGCAAGCTACTTCAAATCAGCATAACCCCAGACTTTGGTTTTTATCTAATTCACATAGTAAAGTCGGTGAAAACTAAACATTCTTCAATCAAATAGTAAAAAAACAAAAAAAATTTCAAATAGAGTTATGCAACACAACTGATAACCAATTAATAATAACCTCTTTGGTCTTATTCAAACACAGCAAAGCACACATGACTTAAACACCTCTTTGTCTTCTTTATTTACACTTTTACTGCCATCAAGTGGCACAAATGGTCATTTTTACCAGCGACCCCTCACGGTTTCTGATACTCATGATCAGCCGCCATGTCCACATGTGTTGCACACTCACTCAGCACTGCAGAGTTTCTGCCACGCCTCGTGGTATTTCACAGGTTCCTCCTGCATAGTTTTCACCTCCAAGTCTGCCGAGTCTACGTACTGGAACAACAACAAACATTTAGGCGGAAGCTAAGTAGCGACTTTCGGGCATTTTGTGTGGGCGGGGTGATAAACGGGTCCGTACCTTCACCTCCAGTTTGTGATTAATGGCGAGGGCCGAGTGCTGCAAGGCTTTAATAACAGACGTGTAAGAGTCTGATAACTTTGTGTACTTTCCCACCAGGGCTATGGAAACATGCTCCAGCAGACGGTCAGACCTGAGAAGAGACCGGGATGAGTCCCAGGACTGGGACAGCGCGCTCTGGAGGCGGTCCTGTCGTTATCTGGGGCGGGCGAGCTTTCTCACCTGTCGGCCATCTCTTTCCACTTTGTGAGCATCTGCCTCTGCCTCATCTCCACGGGAAGGTTCAAGCGCTGGCGCAGGTAGTTGACCACCCCCTGGTCCTCCAGCAGAAGAGGCACTCGGTAAATGGAGGACACGTCGTGGACACAGATCACCTGCAGAGAGCGCAGACAGGAAGCATTTCAATGTCTTTTTTCAAAAATCTATACAAAAAAATCTTTTGAGGTTAGAGATTCTCCCAATGTGTGCGCTGGGCTTTCAGGTTTGGACCACATTAAACCAGACCCGTTCCATCAAAATACAAATGCCATCACCCTGATAAATGGTTCACGCTACCATTGCATCGAAAAAGAAATAAAACGTCACAACTGGGAATTTCAGAGAAGAACACAGGAGCTCATACTTTACCTGTGTAGGTTCCACATGACAAAACATGGAGATTTTCTCCTTGACGGACGTCTCCAGCGGCGTGGTGCAGCGGCACACGATCTGTGAGATATTTATCGTTACTGTCAACGCATTTCAGCACCACAGCAAACTTTACCCGCACTGTCCTGTGCGCTATAATGCCAAAAAAACACTACAAGCAGCATCGGGTCACATCCACGTCTCCTTCCACCGGACCCTAGCTACTAACTATTTGGACTTTTTGCCCCATGATAAGAGCACTTTACTTGTCAATACCAATTATCCTGCTGCTTTCCCAACAGCTGAGATACAAATCAACACTTATGGTCTGGATTCTCACATTACAATGAGAGAAAAACAGATTCATGGGTGGATGGTTTCAAATTCAATGGTGTTTGTGTGGATGACGCACACAGGCTGCCATTTGCACATCTAACCGTGTGATCACAGATTCCACTACATCTAAAGGGCGACTTTGTCCTCATGGGATCACCTCATGACGCTGTGAGTGGAGGAGAGGCTGAGTTTCAGAAACAACCGACTCACCAGATCTGGTGACAGGCCCAGCCCCCGGAGCTCTCGGACACTGTTCTGGGTGGGTTTGGTTTTCTGTTCTCCTGTCGTTTTGGGCTGAGAACAAAAATGAAAATGAATTCACCCAATATATGGAAGAATGGATACCTGTGCAAAAAAATGAGCAGAAACATGTCCCGGCTTGTGGTTTTGTTTTGTCTTTTCATTGAAACAGCAAAAGAAAAATAAGACACAGCTGAGGGCAGCTGTGACCCCATAATCAGCCCATCTCCTGTGGTTTCAGGTAAAGACGGCATACTGTGTGCGAGCTTTACCTGCGGGATCAAGCTGACGTGGATGTTGCAAAAGTTCTCCCTCTTCACCTTGAACTGGAACTGTCTGAAGGCCTCAATGAAAGGCATGCTCTCAATGTCTCCTACGGTGCCTCCCAGCTGTTGGTGCAAAACAACGCATTAGGCCACAGAACTGCACTCTTCAGCTCACCGGTGGCGGTTTATCTGCACATTATCAACTCCTTAAGACATGCTGTCAGCAGCACTGGACCTATTGTTCTGTCAAAGGCTGAAGAATGCTGCCCACAGGACCAATGAGGCAGGACAGTCATTTAAACTGGTTTATGAGGATGTGATGCTTTTTAATTGTAATGTCCATCATAGTACAAACTATTAAAAAACAAAAGCAAACAACCATACTGCATGATTCTTTTTATCTCCTATCATGTGACATCCATTTGTGTGGCCAGGCTCTTCCACTCTGCAGCTGAAATCCACAACAGCTTTAGACAACTTGCTCCGTTTCAGAACCTCAGCTCCTCTAACTCACTGAAACACTGGAAAGAAGACTCACCTCTATAACGCACACTTGGGGTTCCACACCATCGTCATCTACTGAAATCTTCGCCTGTTTCATAACCCATTCCTGAATGGCGTCTGTGATGTGGGGTACCACTTTGGGGGGGAAAAACAACAAAAGTAAGAGAAAGTGCAAAAGATTAACTTGGATTCTAAAAGTTATAAAACAATGTAGCACCTTTTTACACATGCTAAACCTTCTAAATAATGTGGATGATAAATTACTTGTGACATGATTGGATGCACCTCTCAGAGCACACCTGTTTTGTTTTTGTTTTTTTTAAATAGATCCCCCCTTATAAAAAAACGCCTTCAAAACAAACACTGACGACTTATACAGCTATGTCCAACCTTGCACAGTCTTGCCCAGATAGTCTCCTCTCCTCTCCTTGTTGATCACAGACTGGTAGATCTTTCCTGTGGTGAGGTTATTGTCTCTAATTAGGCGGATATCCAGGAATCGCTCATAGTTTCCCAAGTCTAGATCCACCTCCCCGCCATCATCGAGAACAAACACTTCGCCTGGAAAGCACAGACAGCCCATCCGTTTACCACGGGATTTATGGCACGACAGATCCAAAAGCAGTGATGAACCCCTCTGAGTACAATAAAACGGCACAGGATGAAGGAAATTTCAAGGAAAATGACTTGCCATGCTCATATGGTGAAAAGGTCCCAGCATCTATGTTGATGTAGGGGTCGATTTTGATGGCTGTGACGTGAAGGCCGCAGGACTTGAGGATGGTTCCGACGCTGCTTGCGATTATGCCCTTACCAATACCAGAGATGACACCACCCGTAACCAGGATGTACTTCATGGTGGCGCAGGAGAACTGAACACACAAACAAAACAAGAATTCAGCAGTTGAAATTTAGGAGTTACATTCAAGGTCAGGCAGGTGCCTGAACCTGCTCAGCCACCTCTTGGCGTTTGAACATCCAAAGTTTATTACTGTTTATGTGTATGCATTTACCAGACGCTTCTATCCAGAGCTACCAACAAAGTAAGTCTGTACATTAAGCATACATGTAATGACATTAAATGCAACAATATTAGTAAAGTTAGAGACACCGGGGAAATTCAAAGTGGGGCTTCTTATGTTTACGTTCTTTTGTGTACATTATGTATACAAAATGGCAGAAGTAGTTAACGCGGTTACAAAGTTTTCTCAGGGGCTGCTAGCACAGACGGTGACGAACGGGTTTGGAGGTCAGCACCAGCTGTGTTAAACCCAGAAGGCGGGAAAGGACGGCGGCGCCATGAGCGGGAAACGTGACGCACAACAACACGAGGACACGCGTTTCGAAGGCCCCTCATGTCAACTAACTCTACGAGAAACGGCCCTGAGTTAACAGTCCAAGTCCAACTTTGACCTTTTGGGGGACCATTTTACATCAGCTGACTGTGAATAACACGTTTAGCAATACGTTACTTAACTCCACCCCAGTGAAGGCAACACATTTAACACATACCTACGACCTGTAAGTCAATTGTCTAATTGTAGCCTGTGTAGTAATTTATTTCTTTTTAACAGGCGAAGCCGAGCATGCTTATAGCTATTACACAGACCCCATAGCACGCCATTAAAGACGCACATCCTTCCAAAGAGAACAAAACATGAGAGAGCGAAAAGAAAAACAGACCTCCAAATGTGGGAAGGTAGAGAAGGTATCTGTAATTAATTGTCCTCTGTTCACGATTTAGCAGTCTCCACGTTGCTGCTCGAACACAAACACGTGTGGCTGGCTGATCCTCTCTGGAAGGTACAGCGTGCTGACTTCCGCTCGGTGCGAGGGACAAATATTCCCCTCCTTTTGACTTGTCAGGCACCCCAGTCCGCCAAGGAAGTGGCCTCACTAAAAGATTGGTCGAAATTATTTTGCTAACTGGCACGAATAAAACTGTTGAATCCCACTGGAAAATATATTATTATAATTATATATAAAATAGATTGAAATGACAGATTGTTTTAGAGCTGATGTAAGCTGGTCGTGCTTGCAGGATAGATTTTGACGCCTTTTCAAGGACCAATCTCGGCAACAATTATGTTGTCATTTTTTATACCAGTCAAGACATTTTGCAGACAAGGTAAAAGGAGATTGCAATTTATTAAAAGATGTTACACTAATGTGCCTCAATCATGGGTACCTTCAATATACTTTCCACTAGATGGCACATACGTTCTACTTTGTTTCTATTTTACCTGATTTCAGCTTTCAACATCATTCACAAATGACAATCCCTCTTACTTTGTGGAATGAAATTGGCCTCCAGTAGGAAAAAGGACCACTTTAACACAGGTGAACCATAGCTGCCCTCATAAATTCTGATTTGGACAGGGGGCTGTGCGAGCCCCCCTTAAAACTACAGTCGCATGTTAACCGTCTTGGTGATATTGAAGTTTTCCTTAATCTGTCCACTGTTGTGCTGCTCTATTTTTTCTGTGGGTAATGAGAGCGGTGATTCTAATTCATTTCAGTCCATGATCTTGATCTAATTAAAGATCTCATCCCTGCCACCTCATTTTCATAAGCTGTTCTCTTCAATTACTTCTGACAAGTGAGCACAGACACATATTAACCTCCTGCTTGAAAAGGTACTCTGACTCTCTCATTTCTATGCAGTCTGAAAATACTAAACATGAAAAGAAATGCCAGCTCTTTAACTGTTTGCAAAACACATCTGTGGACGGCAGAGCATTCATCAAACCAATCACACGTCCCCATTTTCTCTGATAAAGGAGATAAGATGATGTGTTTTGAAATGTGTTGTGAACAGACAGTGGTCAAAGTCAGCTTTTAGAGCTCATCCTCGTTTGTTATTGACTGTCTGTAAAGGGACTTGTTTGTACCCTCTGTGCTCGAAGAGATTTGAAAACTTAATAGTTGTTTGCCCAACCAAATCATGCAACAGCTCATGCAAAATTGATTGACTTCCATTGTTTAAATTTGACATTAAAACTTTGCTCTACCGAGTGCAGTGAAAACAGTACAGAGTGAAGCTATGGAGGGATTTGAAATTTCACTTTTTTAACTGTGACCTTTTGGTGTGTTAGTGTGTGACTCGTACTTAACTTTAAGACCGTCATTGGAATTCTTTTCTCAACTTAGTCCTAACACTAAAACAAAAAAAAACCATAATTACTCAAGTTTGGAATTTGTCTTTGTCCTGAAGCATTTCAAACAGTTGAATTAGATTATTTTAATGCTCAAGGATTCAATTAAATGTTTAACAATGTGAATAAATCAGTAAGGTACTTAAATAAAGTAGAAAAATTGACAGAACAGGAACATACTATTCCTTGTCTGAAGATTTCTTACGTTAGATTTTCTGAGAGAACATTTAATGATGCCTCTTTTTTAGATTGAAATCAAATGTAGACATTCATTTACAGTTTTCTTATGGTACATGACTAATGAGCCAACTGAGAGAGTAATCCTCAAATTCACTTATATCGAAAACCATGATATCATCATCCATCTTTTACCAAGTGTTTGTTCAAATAAAAATTGTTGGCTATTTGTGTATAGAATGTGGAACTATACAATTGAAATAAAATCAAATAAATCCTATTCGATTGAACTGTGTACCAATATCTTTTCTCCATAAGATAAAACTATCTATTTGTAGTGTGGTGACTTAAATTATGCTGTCAGCAGGCTTAGGTGACCAAATATACGCTCTGCTTATGTCCAATATTACCTGTGTTTAGCTTCACACAGTGAGGCCAGATACTTTTGGATCAAATGTCAGAAGTCTGCTACACTCCCAGGCCACCAGTGGGCTGCTGGTCTCTTAGCTCAAACAACCCCCCCCCCCCACCCCCCCACCCCATTCACCACCGGGGGGAGTGGTGCATTTCTCTGTCCTCTTGTATTTTTTGGAGAGTTTAACACAGATCGATCTAAGAAGGAAACCCAGATGGCTCTCAAGGCAGCATGCAGTACACAACTACTCACTCAGAGGAAAAGTGAGCTCTTGGGCAATTAGTGTCATTATGGTTGCTCATGTGCTTGGTGGGTTGGATAAACAGTGGCTGTGGCAGCAAAGAGTTAGGCATGTGGGTAGCATGGATAATGATGATCAGTACTGCACTGCAGCAAAGCCAAAACACACACCTAACCATTTTAAGCTGGTGGCAGACAGAACGCAGTCCAGATCAGATAGGCCATTTATAAATATTCTGAGAACTATGATGAGTCATCTTTAAAAGATGAGTCTCTCTTTCATCACCTTCATCAACAGTGTCACAGTTTTGTTAAGTTAAAGAGTCTAACACAAACGTAAAGATCTGAATTTTACCTCTTTGACATGCAAATTAGGTACCACCATCCAATAATTTAACACTTCTCTACTTTCATATTAAATATAATGAGCTGATCATCCACGTGTTAATGTGATAAGACATTTCTCTTTTATTTGAAGTGTATTAACTATCTTTGTATGACTTTGGCTGTTATTACATGATTAAAGGTCAAAACATGAAGCAGCCATTCTTATCAGGTGCCCACAGTCTAAAGGAAAATCCCCTTAATCTTAAAAACAGCACCCAGTGGATGATGTCATGGTGACAATGCGTTCAATGTTCATAAGTCCTCAAAGAAAAATATGATCCGTTCATTTTTAACAATAAACAGACGTGTAAATCCGACACATGATACAACAAAGCTGACCTCGATTGTAAAGAAGAGGCCAAGGGAGAACAATAGTCTCTCCAAGAAAATCCAGCCTAAAGACCTCAGAGAAACCAACAATGCGTTTGTTTTCATTGTCCTAAACTATTTGATACTCTGCTGTGCACATACATGTGTGTGTGAATGCACGTGTCTCTGTGTTAGTGTAACATCCACCATTTTTTCTGCTAAGCCACAAGTTATTGGGAAAACAAATGTCAGTTAAAGGGCGTTGTCTGTGGTGTCTGCACAGAGAGTTAGTGTTTCCTCCTTTTCGTGGGGAAAATCAAATCTGATTATGAACACCAGTGAGAAAAGGCACTGAGAGAGTTTATTGGATAACGTGGTACCAAAGATGACAATAGAGAGATGAGAGAGAGTGAAATGGAGTGGAAAAGAAATACGAATTGAGCTGTTTTTTGCGAGAGAACAGGAGAGACACACTCCACTGAAGAAAAGGAGAGACTGATCCCATGAGGGATGAGACTCTGGATCGATGCCCGGTATGCCACTGCACAGTCATCTGTGAGCTGCCTTTGAACATGTATTTGAGCCAGAATATCCCACGATCCTCCTCTTTCATCCCAACACAACTCCTAGCATGTGGCCTTGTGCTATCTCCTGCCTATCAGTCATTTCCCCAATTACTTTGACCATCCGCTTCCTCCAGCCCTACTCTGTCCTCCACTGCATTCTCAATCAGTTTTCCATACCTCCTATTCCTCCTTACATGTCTTTTTCTCCTCCTATCTGTCTTTTCTTTGTCCCAGCCAAAACACAGCTAGAGGCTTAGCCTCTGCTACAGCCTTGAAAACAGACCAAAATGTTTCAGTTTTTTTCCTACTTACTGCCGCAGACCCCCCTCCAGGAGAGGTCTGTCTGCCTCGGAGGAGAGTAGGAAATGAGGAGGACTGATTAATTTAGAAAGCATGCTCTCCTTTTTTTCCTCCGCTAAGCCCCCCTTCAGGGGGACATGAATGTTCAGTAACTAAATGGTGAGGAAGATCATGGGAACTCATTCATCAAGCCCTGTATATGCCCTGTAAATGAGTGTACCGTGCAAACAAGTCTGGGTACTTTAGGATGTCATTTTTTCTTTTAAAAGTTTGTGTTTAATGCTGGAATAGACATGATCAATATGTCTTAGCCAGTATAAACACTGAGTGATGTTATTGTTTTCTTCATGATGTAAATACATCTTTGCCTTCTACTCAAATTCAAGTATTTTCAAAATGTCATATCAAATAGGCAGCTAAGTAAATGTAAGGATGTCATAACACCAAACAATCAGAGTAAAACCCCCATTTACTCGATAGTTCGTTCTGTAGCTTTTTGAAAAAAACAATACAAAGAGATTGTTTTTCGTTCTCATCATGAATTGCTGTCATATTCGACTTAACTTCATTCAGATCATCCTGGACATTAAGAGCTCAGTCTGAAAGAAAAGTCGCAGCAAAGATATGGAGGATATGCTCCCTGGTGCCTTGCTACCGCGTGCAGAAGCACTCCTAGACTACATGTCATTCTCAAGTCAGATGCTAGGATGGGCTGAACAAGCACTCCTTTTTATCACTAACTCAGTTATTCAGCTATTTCAAACTCTTCATGCACTCAAGACTATTCAGCTTGCTTACACCACTTAGCTGTGACAGTATCCTTTACAAAGAGGAGAGGTGTGACTAGCTGCTGATGTCTCAGATGCTGTGAAGTTCAAATGGGCTTGTGACCATGCAGCTTGACACCCTTTAGATGTATTACCTCTGAAATTGTTCAGGTTTAGGCATATTTACCGAGACTGTGAGGGAAGGTATTTTCTGCAAAAAAGGACACTTGTAAGATTAATAGAAATGTATTTAATCCAGAATTGATTGATATTGATATCATTCTTGAAGATACTGGATAGAGCTGCTACAGATTGTTACAAACTATCATATTTAATTTACATTTGATTTGTCTCAACCATTTAAAAATATTCCAAATAATCCAATGTTCCCAATTACAGGCTTTTCCTGCTAACAATAACCTAGTATCTTACTTCCCTCCCACTCCTGTCCTGTACTTCATGTGTACTTGCTACGGTCCTACACAAAGAAGTGTTCTATTTTGGTGTCCTTATCAATAGAGGATCTGTCT